CTGCTCTGGCTGCGAGGAAGATTCCAGCTCCATTCCGACCCCAGATCCGCTCGGAGCTGGATGTGAGCAACTTTGCAGAAGAGTTTACTCGGCTGGAGCCTGTCTACTCACCCGCGGGCAGCCCCCTATCTGGAGACTCTCGCATCTTCCAGGTGAGGGAGAGCTCATGGAACCCCAGACGGCCTGGCTGACCCATGGGCACTGCATAGGCTTTGTATCCTGACCAGGACTCAGTGTCTCCCCCCAGGCCTCTCCTCTTGTGGGGTACGTGGAGTTGTCAGTCGTAGAGTCCACCAAGGCAGGGCTCGTCCTGAGCTTCATGGTCATCTTTAAATCTCACACTCATTTCCCTTCTACTCCATCATATCTCCTTACTGTTATGTCCTGTTTTAAAGTAATCAGACACGTAGCCCCCTGTTTTATACGAATCTTCAGTAGCCCCCTTGCTTCAGTAGACACGTAGGAGGAGAGGCCGTGTGTGCCCGTTGGCCCGCCATATCACATTCCTGGGGACGCAGGCCCCCTCCCTCCAATTTTTGAAGCTTAGGGCTGGTAGGCGAGACTAAACTCCTTTGCTCAGCATCAAGAACCCTCCGTGGTGTGGTCCTTGCTCTGAGCCCCAGCCTCAGTGCTCGCTCGTGTTGCGCTTGGTGCTTTAGCAGCAACGAAGTGCTCGGCGGTCCCACAGCAGACTTCTGTACCTTTGCACACCCAGTGCCCTCCGCCTGACATGGCCTCCCCACTGCCGCTCACCCGGCAAGCTCCCACTGACCTTTCTAGCCTTGTTGTCCCGGGCTGCCCCCTGTGAAGTCTTCCCCTCTCCCGTGGCCCTGGGCTGCACCTTGCTTGTACAGCAGCCCTCTGCGGGCAGCACCTGCCTCGGAGCGGTTTGTCAGGTTGTGTCCTGACAGCTCAACTGAGACTGCCTCCTCTGGTGTGAGGCTCCCAGAGGGCGGGAATGGTGTGCTTAATTTGTGTTTCTATGCCCAATGTGGGGGGCCTGGCCTACAGGCCATTGGCCTACAGCTGTTTCTTTCTAAGAATATTTTATTGACTTATTTTTAGAGAGGGGAAGGGAGGGAGAAAGAGAGGGAGAGAAACATCAATGTGTGGTTGCCCCTCAAGTGCCCCCTATTGGGGACCTGGCCCACAATCCAGGCCTGTGCCCTGAGTGGGTATCGAACCAGCGACCCTTTGGTTTGCAGGCTGGTGCTCGATCCACTGAGCCACACCAGCCAGGGCGGTTTACAACTATGAAGTAAGAATAGGCCAATAGCAAGTATGGATGGATCCGTCTGCCTCTGTGAAGCTCTCACAAGTGACAGCTCCGTGCTCGAACGTCGCTCGATCCATTGTCTCACAGTTCTGAGAAAGTCCTTTCTTGTGGATGGAGGGCTACTCTCACTCATTCATTCATTCATTTCATGGTGCAAAAATACGTGTTGAGTGCCTACAATGTGCCAGGCATAGGTCTGGGCACTGAGGATGTGTCAGTGAACCTAACAGACAAAAATCCCTCCTGTGTGGAGCTTGCGTGCAGGCGCACAGTGGGGCTGTGTTTTTAAGAGAGAACACATTCCTTAAATTACCCTTGAGAATCCCTTGAATTGGCAGGACATGGATCCTTAGGAAAGGCAAAGTATTAACTCTGGTTTTTCTTAACACTTCTTCAGTAGCCCCCTTGCAGAGGAGGCCAGAGTTTGAATTGAATGGAAGGAATAAAGATTTTTTGTTCTCAGTAGGCACAGTTGAATTGTCATAGGCTAATAAGCAGGTGCGATTGCCAGGTCACAGTCCTTTCATGCATTTGCCTGCCACTTTTTGGGCCACTAGATTGTGCCAGGCTATACCCTTGGCACTTGGGGGGGGTGTTACTGTGATGAGAAAGGTGGAGTCACAGACTGGTGAGGGACAGACAGACATGACCCCAAGTGATCACAGAACAAATTAGAATAAAATGTCCATACATCCTGTGTGTACCAGGATGCAAAAGCAACACCTCCTGCTGACTGACCCCTGCTCTGGGCTCTTCCCTCTGCCTGCCCTCCTCCCCGCCTGCTCTGGCCCTTCCAGGGACTCCACCTGCACCTCCAGCACCCCTCCCTCCCCCCGGACCCATCCACCCCTGACCCGCCTCCCTCCCCAACCAGGGATACTCCTTCGTGGCACCGTCCATCCTGTTTGACCACAATAACGCTGTGATGACCGATGTGCTGGAAGCACCTGGTTCTGGAGACCGGCCAGGCAAGGCGTCGGTGGCCAGGAGTGCCATGATGCAGGTGGGTTGGGCCAGGGCTGGGAGAAGCTGACTTGGGGGTGCAGGGCCCAGGATTCCTGAAGGGGCTGTACCAGCTGCCCTCAGGTATGACCTCGGTGAAATCTGGTACTTCTGGGAGACGGGGTGAGGTGTGGCCCTAAGTCTCCCAGGTAGGACCTCTGACGCGCCCTCTTTCCCCCCAGGACTCGCCCTTCTTCCAGCAGTATGAGCTGGACCTGCGGGAGCCTGCGCTGGGCCAGGGCAGCTTCTCCGTGTGTCGCCGTTGCCGCCAGCGCCAAGGCGGCCAGGAGTTCGCGGTCAAGATCCTCAGCCGCAGGTGGGCCAGCTTGGGGTGGGCGGGCTCCGAGAAGCAGAGTCCGGGAGGGCGGGGCCGGAGGCCATCCATCCCGACCCCGTCTCCCCCTCCCCCAGGCTGGAGGCGAACACTCAGCGCGAAGTGGCCGCCCTGCGGCTGTGCCAGTCGCATCCCAACGTGGTGAAGCTGCACGAGGTGCATCAGGACCAGGTAGGTGATGCCTTCCTGGGCGGGTGGGCCGCAGGGATGCACGAGGAAGACGGGGGAGGGCAGGGGGCGGGGTCTAAGGGAACCACGGCGGGTTGGGGGGCTTGAGGGGGAGGACCAGAAGGCGGAGCTGAGAAAACGGCCGAGGAAACGGATCTGAGGGCGTGGAGGGTTATAAGATTCGAAATGACCAAAGGGGCCGGGACCTGGAAGGCAGTCGGGGTGGTTCTTGCGGGTGGTCTTGAGGCCGGGGCTCGAACCCTCCCGAGGCCTGAGGCTTGGGGCGGGGCTTGTCGGTGCCCGCGGGGCGGGGCCTGGCTCGTGACGGTGGCCGCCCCCGCTGCCCACAGCTGCACACGTACCTGGTCCTGGAGCTGTTGCAGGGTGGGGAGCTGCTGGAGCACATCCGCAAGAAGCGGCACTTCAGTGAGTCCGAGGCGAGCCAGATCCTGCGGAGCCTTGTGTCGGCCGTGAGCTTCATGCACGAGGAGGCGGGCGTGGTGCACCGCGACCTCAAGCCCGAGGTGGGCGCGGGCCGGGTGGCAGGGGAGAGCTGCCGCACGGAGGGCAGCCTCTGACGGCCGCCTGCCCGCACAGAACATCCTGTATGCCGACGACACGCCGGGAGCCCCGGTGAAGATTATCGACTTCGGGTTCGCGCGGCTTCGCCCGCAAAGCCCCGCGGAGCCCATGCAGACGCCCTGCTTCACGTTGCAGTACGCGGCCCCTGAGCTGCTGGCGCGGCAGGGCTACGACGAGTCCTGCGACCTCTGGAGCCTTGGCGTCATCCTGGTATGGGACGGGGCCCCCAAGGCGGGTTCAGGGGCGCCTGAGCCCGAGGTCAGAGGTCTTCCTGATGAGGGGCAACAGGGGCGCCAGAGGCACGGGTCATCTCGGCGGGGGTGGCAGGGTTTGATAGGGGGCTGGCCTCAGAGGTCGTCCTAATACAGAGGCAGGGGCGCTCAGATGCTGGGGTCAGGGCATCCGAGCGGTCTGGGTTGGAGTCAGGGTCATGGCTAGTGGGCCTCAGGAGTTACTCCCTGCAGCGGGCGAGTGGCCCGCGGGGTGGGCTGAGAAGTCAGCCTCCTGCCTCCCTGGGCCCGCGGCGTGGGCCGGTCTCACTTTTCCCCCCATCCCCCAGTACATGATGCTGTCGGGACAGGTTCCCTTCCAGGGAGCCTCAGGCCAAGGCGGGCAGAGCCAGGCTGCCGAGATCATGTGCAAGATCCGCGAGGGGCGCTTCTCCCTTGATGGGGAAGCCTGGCAGAACGTGTCCGAGGAAGCCAAGGAGCTTGTCCGAGGTGGGGAGCGGGAGCCGCAGATCCTGCTTGGGAAGGGGGAGGCCACGGGGTCATGTTGGGGTAGGCGAGGATACCGGTCCGGGAGGGGGGCAGGGCTGTTAGGATCTCTGGGGGCAGCCTCCACACACGGCCTGCCCTGACACTCCCCCACCCGGCCTCCAGGGCTCCTGACTGTGGACCCGGCCAAGAGGCTGAAGCTCGAGGGGCTGCGGGGCAGCTCGTGGCTGCAGGACGGCAGCGCCCGCTCTTCGCCCCCGCTCCGGACTCCGGACGTGCTGGAGTCCTCCGGGCCGGCTGTGCGCTCCGGGCTCAACGCCACCTTCATGGTGAGGGCGGGGCCTGAGGGGGGGCGTGGAGTGTGGGGTGCGGACACTGCCTGGAGAGGCGGGCTCTCGGGGAGGCGAAGCCCTCAAAGCTCAGGAAGGTGAGATGGCGGGTCGGGGCCTGACCTTTACGAACGCCGGAGGCCAGAGGCCAAGGATCTTGCTGGCCTTGACCCAGTGGCATGGGAGGAACGGTCCAGGGTGGGAGCCAAAGCTCGGACCTAAAAGTCGAGGCCGGGCCGTGTTGGGGGTACTCACGCCGTATTTTCTGCCAGGCGTTTAACCGCGGCAAGCGCGAAGGTTTCTTCCTGAAGAGCGTGGAGAACGCGCCGCTGGCCAAGCGGCGGAAACAGAAGCTGCGGAGCGCCGCCACCTCCCGCCTTGTCTCCCCCGTGCCCGCTGCCCCGGGCAGGGCCCCCGGCTCCAAGGGAGCCCCCCGCCGAGCCAACGGCCCCCTGCCCTCCTCCTAGCCCCTGCCACTGTGATCCCCCTTCCCCCAAAGGGGCTGTGACCTGGCTTCCAGCATCAGCGCTCCGCCCCATCCCCAGGGATCGCCCTTCCTTCCCCACCCCCAACTCCCAGACAGAGCAGAAGTATTTTTATAAGCAGAGAATTTTTTATGTCTTACCAGATAGAGTTAGAGATGCAGGGAGGGAGGGGGCCCACCGCTGAGTGGGATGTGGGGGCCCTTTGCTAAGACTGCCTCTGTTGGTGGAAGGCGCTTCTGCAGGGGGCCCCTCCAGCAGGGAAGGGCTCCTCCCCATTTCTAAGCACTGAGTTGCCACAGGGAGAAACTGGGACCTCTCCCCTGTCCTCCCCCAAGGCTCTGCTCTTGGGAGGGGACGCCCCTCAAGCTGTCACTTTATGGATTGTCTGTGCAATTTCATCCACCAAAGACCTGTGTTGGGGGGGTGGCGTTCAGGGAGAGGCCCTAAGGGACCCTCTGAAGCATTATTTCCTCACTTTATCTCACCTGCTTCTCCCCTGTTGGGGCTAAGGAAGGAAGCAGGTGACCTCCTAAAAGGGGAGGCCCCCTTATTACCCACCCCTTCCCTTTGGCACAGCCGCCCCGTTGGGTGGTGGGAGCGGGGCCTTGGGGGTCTGGGCTGGGCTTCTACAGTCACTGCCTCCGTTCACCTGGGGGGCTGTGCCTTTGACGTTAAAATAAAAACCCACCCAGTGCTGTCTGCGGCATGTGTGTGTGCCAGTGGGTGCGGGCGTCCGCGGTCTTGGGCCAGGTGGGGCCTAGGGCCAACCCTTCTTGGTGAGAAGGTGCCTTTGGCTTTTGACGTGAGCAGTGGTGGTGGGGCAGTCACCGCGGGTGTGTGTCTGGACAGCTCTGCCACGTGTCATTTACGATTCTCTCGGTCGTAAGTCACAGAAACCCCAATCTACCGTTGCTCCAGCAGAACAGGAATTTTAGGCTCTTGTAACTACACAGTCCAGGGGTAGCTTCAGGCACGGCCTGATCCCGGTGCAAACATGATCAGGACTTAGCTTCCCAGGCAGCTTTTCTGTTTTCTGGGTGTTGTTGCCGTTCGGAGGACTCTCTTTGTGGCCCTAAGGTGGGTGTCAGGTGCTCCAGGAGCTAATGGGATGGATTGTTGAAAACTTGGTTTCTGCCCTGGCTGGTGGGGCTCACTGGACTGAGCCCTGGCCTGCACGCCGAAGGGCTGCCGGTTCGAGTCCCTGCTGGGGCACGTGCCTGGGTTGCGGGCCAGGTCCCCAGCTGGGGGCATGTGAGAGGCAACTGACTGGTGTTTCTCTCCCACATCGATGTTTGGTTCTCTCCTTCTCTTCCTCCTTCCCTTCCCCTCTCTCTGAAAATAAAGAAAACCTGAAAAAAAATAAAGCTTTGTTTCTATCATAAATGATGCTGAGACAAAGAATTTTGTACATAGACCTGTGCATTATAATGTAACTGAGCCCCGCCGGTGTGGCTCGCTTGGTTGGGCATCGTCCTGCCAACCTAAAGGTCATCGGTGTGATTCCCAGCCAGGGCCTGTGCCCGGGTTGCAGGCTTGGTCCCCGGTCCGGGCACGTACAGAAGGCAGCCAATCGATGTTCCTCTCCTTTTCTTTCTCCTTCCTTTCCCCTCTCTAAAATTTAAAAAAGAAAAAGAAAAAAAAATGGCATCAACAGGTAAATAGCTTATTATACCTTGTCTTAAACTAAGAAATGGATTGTGAATATGTATGTCAGTGATGTTAAAAGTGTTTTGTACTGGCATATATTTCATTGTCTGGATACGTTAGGATATATTTAGACTGCTCTCCGTTTTTGGCCACTTGGGCTGTTGTCAATTCCTTGCTATTTTAAATAGTGCTGCAGTGAACATCTCTGTGCCCACACCTTTGCTCACCTGTCCGAATATTTCCTTAGGATACCTTTCCTAGAAGTGAAATTAGTGGGCTACAGGATATGCCCGTGCACACACATTTCACAGGCTTTGATATATATGATCAAACTGCCCGTTAGAATGAGCCTCTCATTTTATGACTCAAGGCAGCATGGGCAAGATCCAAGACGTGCTGTCTCCTTGAAAATGAAATGAGGCATCTCACCAGCTGAGCACGTCCTTACTCACCCACCCACCTGAGTTTTTCATGACGGAGCTCCTGGTGATCTCTAGGGGGCCTTCTCCCCCTGAGCCTGGGCTGTGATGGGGGAGGAGAGTGACCCATCAGTGGGGTGGGGAAGAACCCCCCCCCGCCGCCCCTGTGCAGGGGTAGGCTGGGCCATCTGTGTGGAGCAGAGGGAGAGTGGAGCCTAGGGACGCCCCAGGGAGAGGGGTGCAGTAAGGGCAGGCGGGGCATGGTCAGGAGCACCCGAGCCCCGCAGAACCTGGGGGCTGAGCAGTGGTGGGTCCAAATGCTGGCACTGCCCCCTCCCAGACGGGCAATAGGGACCGAGCCCCTGGGTCCTGGGTCTCCTCTGCCTCTCGGATGAAGCGGAGGGTGGAATAGTACCTGTCCTGGAGAGCCGGGGGTGCGGCAGGGTCCCTGGAGGGCACCTGCACCCTGGAAGCACGCCGCATGTCTCAGCGTACATTTTTTTTTAAACTAAGGGAACCGGGGTATCAGGGTCGGCCCAGGTCTGCTCCTGACGGTGACCCACATCCAGGCACGTGAGAGGGGGCACTTTTCCCACCCTCCCGGGAGCCTGCAGGGACGTGCTTCCAGCTCCTCCTGAGTGTCCCATGCCCCAGGGGTGTGAGGACCAGATGGGCGCCCAGCCTGGTGGCTCTCACCACCTAGCGTGGGTCTGTCTTTCAGCTTCCCCCGCCTGGCGTGATGTCAGCAGCTTGGGAACAAACAGACCACCTGGGAGTGGGTGGTGGTGGGAGCCCACGCTTGTGTGTGTGAGCCCATGAATGTGTGAGTGTGAGTGTGTGTGAGCGTGCATGTGAGCAAAGCATGTGTGTGAGTGAGTGTGCATATGGGAGTCTGCGTGTGTGAGTGTGTGCGCATGCTCTCCCGGCACACTGCGGGAGGCACAGAGCGCAGGGTAGAAGCTTTGCCGCAAACCCCGAGTTCTTCCAGCTTCTCCCACCTCCTGCCCAGGTTCCAGCTGCACTTAATTGACCGCAGGGATCTGTGGGACTCAGACCCAGACCGGGATGGGAGGGCCCCGCCCCAAAGCTGCACAGAGGAGCAGAGACGGCATCAGAGCTCAGCCTCTGGGAGCCTCTGCTGGGGTGCAAAGCCCGGCCTCTCCAGTTCTCAGCTGGGACTGTCATTCCTCTAGGATTTCTGAAAACAAGGTAAGGCCGTCTCAGTAGGAAAAGCAAGGAGACCAGTTTCCATAAGATGCTTTTCCCAGCAGCCCCTGCACTTGGCATGGGGGCAGGGACGGTGGGTGGCCAGCAGCCAGCCAGCTGCTGGGGTGGTAGGTTGCTGCGTGCGGAGGGCATACAGCAGCCACCAGGCCAGGGCGTCTGGGGCCCTCTGCCTCCCGCTGCTCCTCTCTTGGACCCTCCCCACCAACCCCTTTGACTCTCTAGGGCCCAGGAGACAGTTACGTTCAGAGCGAGACTCTGGGATACCTGACGCCACTGGTTGAGTGACAGCAGAGAAGGGGCACATTGGGTTCTTGGTCCCTCTGTGTCCAGCTGGATCTGATTTCTGAGGGTCGGGTCAGGAATCTGCTCTAGTAACAAGCTCCCCTGATGCGTGGTTTAGAGCCACATGTCCCACCAAGCCCCTGAACTTTCCTGATGGGGAGACCAAGGCCCACGGAGGGGAGGAGCTCACCCACAGTCCTGGGGCTGCCGAACGGCAAAGCCAGGTCTCCTGATGCTCCGCTCGTGCATTCCTGCTCAGCGGGCCCCGCTTTCTGCAATGTGGAATTTTCCATGGGGACACAGATCCAGCTTTATGGTAGGAGCACTCAGACACCAGTATCTGTGCCAGAAATTCAGGCCATCACCACTTTATGGGAAGGAGGGTGTGCTGTGGAGTGAGTGTCTGCCATGCCCCTCCCCCACACATGTTATCTTCCTGCCCAGCGGGGGCCAACAGGTGCTTGGCAGAGCCTGCTCACTGACAGATATCCACGCAAACCTGTCACAAGGCAGGCTGCAGGGAGGACATGGGACACAGAGGCTGGGAGAAGCTGCCCCTGAACCCCTGATCTCCTGGCACAGGTGGGTCAGCAGGGGAGGCATTTTTGCCCCGAAGGAGTTGTGGACAGTGCAGCTCAGCGCTCCCAAGCATCCTCGCAGGGGCTGCCACGTCTTGCTTCTCCCCTGCCCGAGCTCGCAGGCTCACGCAGAGCCAGCAGGGCCGGACCCCGAGGAAGTGTCTTTCGTTGCCTGTGGAAGGAGGAAACGCTTTTAGGACATACCCTCCCCCACCAACAAGGATAATAATGACGTTGAACCTGTTCATCGAGTCTTGCTATGTGCCAGGCCCTGTACTAACCCCCTTCTGTGACATCCAGATGCAAATCAAGTCCATTATTGTCACTATTGTTAGGCAATAACAATAATTGCTAAAGGTGTTGGGCATTTGCCCTGTACCAGGAGCCAAGCACTGGGCCAAGCCTTGTCCGCCGGTGATTTCATTTCATGAGTAGGTTCTATGTTATTATTACTATTATGTATTATTGTTCCATTTTATGGATGAAGAAAATGAGCTCAAAGAGGTAAGTTGTCCAAGGTCACATGATGGCATCCAGGCACGTTGGCCCCAGAACCAAGGTTTCTCTACATCAGACCCTAAGCTCTTTTTTCTTTTAAAGAAGGTTTTATTTATTTATTTTTAGAGAGGGGAAGGAAGGGAGAAAGAGCGGGAAACATCAATGAGTGATTGCCTCTTGTGTGCCCCCTACTGAAGGCCTGGCCCACAACCCAGATATGTGCCCTGACCAGGAATCGAACCGGTGACCCTTTGATGTCCAGGATGGTGCTCAATCCACTGAGCCACACTAGCCAAGGCCAGACCCTGAGCTCTTAGTCACAATCTTATTCTGCCTCTCAGAGCTATCTTTTACCTTTAAGCCATTTCCTCTGCTATAAGATGTAGTTTTCTTTGCACCTAGGATCTGGTTCTCGTCTCAGTTTGTAGAGCCCGAAGCACCATGAATGCCAGTTCTGGGCTTTTTTTATTGGAGGCAGACACATCGGCAGCCTCTGTTGAAATAAATCATGCCGGCCATCATGTGATATTGTGGCTCTTCCTCTGAGCTCGGTTTCCATCCTGATCAACAACTTGGTACTGCAATGTGCAGACCGTGGTCCAGAAACACTAGGAACGGGAATTTAGAGTCAAGTGTTTCAAGGAGAGACGCAAACAACAAAAAGCAAAGATGGATGAGGAGGAACGCACTGTGAAAAATCAGGAGACAAGACCCTGAGGTCCCAGTAGACCACCAGCAGAACCCTAGTCAGGCAGCTACCGTTTTAAATAATTACTGAGCAGTGCAGCGTGGTCGTAGACTTGTTAAGGTGAGCCCCACAAACCAGGGCTGCATCTCAGGTGCAGGCTGGGCCGAGAGAGCCCGGCTCTCTGCCACTTTCTATGATGCTGTAATGATTGTTCCTGGACTTGCATCATCCTCGTCTTGTGACCCCGCAAGACCCAGGTGAGAAATGAAGCTGAGGCTCTTTTTGCCTTACTTTTGTCTAGCTCTCAAGAAAGTGTGTCAGAGGCTGCTTTTTGCTTAACCAACATCCACACCCCTGCCCATTGGGTGTGTTAATGGGCTTTTTATAATGCCATACTTCTTGGCCTTTCAGAAAGAGGCCAGTAAGATGTAATCAAAAGTTATTGGGTGGGGTTTCTGGGAAAGCTCTTGGAAGGAGGCTGACTCAGAGGGGAGGCATGTCCTTTTGCCCTTGTCTCTCTCTACTCCCTACTGCCTGGAATGTGGATGTGATGTCTGGAGATGCAGTAACTATTTTGGGAGCATGAGGTGACCTCTAGCATGGGACCCTCATGTTGATGACAGTGGAAGGCAGGATAGAGGAACCGGGGTCAGTGATGGCTGTGGAGCCACTGTGTTAACTTGACTGGCCGCCTCTAGACTTCTTTGAACATGAGACTAAAATTTAACCTCTATCTTATTCTAGCCGCTGTTAGTTTGGTTCTGTTACTTATACCCAGGTGCCAAAGGTTCTGAGCACAAATTTTCCACCTGTATTCATGAATAAAGGGGAGTTGGATGTAGCAGGATGGCCCTGAGCTGGCTATGCTGGGAGGCGGGGCCCGCTGTTGGCAGGCCTGGGGCCTTCACTGGTCTGGCCCCACTTTCAGGAATGAATAAACACGTGGCTTCGCCCCTTTGGGCTGGAGGAGGATGCTAAAAGGGTTTGATGCCAAAGTGCCCAGGGGAGGCAAGACTGGTGGAGGGGAGAGAGGGCTTGGGTCTGGAGGCCCGCAGAGCTGCCTCTGTGAGCAGCGCTGAGCCTCACCCTCACTGCTGCGGCTTCGCTGGTTGAGTGTTGCTCTGCAAAGTGAACGGCTGCCAGTTTGATTCCTGGTCAGAGCATGTGCCTGGGTATGGGTTCAGTCACCTGTCAGGGTGCGTGCAAGGGGCAGCTGATGGATGTTTCTCTCTCTCCCTTTCTCTTTCTCTTCCTCTTACTCTAAAATAAATAAAATCTTAAAAAAAAGAAAAGAAAAAAAAGAAGTGCTCAGCCTCTGGGCTCAGGCGGTGTCCCTTCCCGGCCTGGGTGGCAAAGGACAGCACAGCTATGGGGAAGGCACAGAGCCTTGCATTCCTGCCCCAACCCCAGCCTGACCCTGACTCTCTAGGACTGGCAGCCGGGGGACTCTAGGGGCAGACCTGATGGTGGGGGGCGAGAGGGGGAGGGATGTGAGGGGGCCGTTTTCCTAGAAGGCAGGTCATTAGGAGTGGCACACACACATGGACAAGGCCCGGGAGAGGACAGGTGTGGACTTGTCTGAGCAAATGCGAGCGCCACCGACGGTGCTGAGGTGCCGTGGCCCTGTGGCGGGCAGCTGGGTGCTGGGGAGCTTGGCAATTCAGATGCGGTTGCGGACAACGCCGCATCAGTAGCTGCAGGTAGCTGAGCGGGCGATACAGGGAGTGGGAATCTGATGAACTTAATTAACATCATAAATTCTGCCCAGCTTCCTCCAGCACTGTGGCTTTCTTATTACCTGGTGAGGTTTCCCCCTTTGCAGCTCTGGTTTCAGCAACAGCTCCATAAACATCCTGGAAGTTCATGGCCCTCTTTGCTATCTTGGAGCTCACATCAAATTTTCGGTCTAGTCAACATTTGCTCATTGAATAAGCAATTCAGCCAACTGCATTTAAAGACATATACAACATTTGTTTGTTTATTTATTTATTTCTAAAGCAAAAATTTCTATCTCAGTCTAAGCAGCTCTGTCTGGCCTACCATTGCCCAGAAGACTTCGTTTCCAGAAATACCCCTTTGCCAGTGGATACTCAGGATAAAGACGCAAAACGCGCAGGCTGGGTCAGAAGGGCCCCAGCCAGCGTCTCTGCAGATTGCAAAGCATGGTCTCTGCCCTGAGCTGGGGGAGGGATGTTTTAACCCTCAGTTTGCAGACCGAGAATCTGAGGCAGCGTCCGGCTGGTGCTGATGTGGCCAGCAGAGCACCCAGGGCTCGTCACAGAGGCTGTTCCCCTGCCCCAAGCTATTAGCAAAAGTAGAGGGGGCTTGTCAACCAGTGTTTGTTCCAGCGGAACAGAAGTGTGGGCTGAGACACGCTGAGCATCACCTCCGGGCCTGGCCCAGTCAGAACCAAAGGCCTTCAATGGGGGGTTTCATTTAATCGCCGTCCGTCCCTCCCACGTACACTTTTTAAAAAATTTTCTTGCAGGTGTCCACTACGTCCTTCCACGACCCAAGCACATTCTAGGTCACACTTTGGCCCAAGTCACTGGAATGTGCGAAGGGCACAGTTCCTCGTTTCTACCAGTCATGGACAATGAGGCACATGCCCCAACGTCACCCGCCCATCGGCTCAGGCAACACTGTGTCGATGGACGCAAAGGCGCCTCTGGGCAGGTGTGTGTAGCTGGCAGCGGAGTGGGCCCGGTGGTGGCGGGGCTTCCAGGGACGTCTGGCCTGGCTGTAGGATGGACAGAGGGACACGGGCCTAGAGTCCCGGCCGAGGGGTCGCGGAGAGAGCTGGAGGACCGCAGCGGGCTGTGCCCCTTCCGCAGGCCCTGCCGCCTGCAGGTGCCATGAGCAGGTCTGGGAAAGGGGTGGAGACTGTCGAGGGGGTCGAGGTTCTTCTTGGCCCACCGGCTTCAGTGGGTACTGCTGAGGGCCTTCCCGTGTCTTACAGGGGGCAGAGCAGGGATGAGAGCACGGACTTGGCCGGGAGGAGGGAGACAGTCTGCGGGCGGCTATGGAGCCTGAGGCTCCGTGACTCCTTGGCCTCCCTGGAGCTAAGGGGGTGCCAAGAAGAAGGACCCCCAGGGAGCAGGCAGAGCCTTACTTTACACCCTGAGCCTGCATTTTGGCTCAAATGAGAGACCTGAGAGACTCCATGCCACGGAGAGCCCCCGCATGGGGAGTATAGGTGGGCTCCCTGCGGCTGCTGCTGTAAAGTAGTAGGAAACTGCCCTAAATGAACATTTTGTAAACTGTGTTCCTTGGAGCGGAAGGTGTGTGCAAGGTGTACAGGATGCTCTGTAAACATATTTTGTAATCGGCTGTCCATGTGTCACCTTTTGGAAAGTCTTAAAGCTCATTAGTATATTGAAGGCTCTGAGAAGTCCTGCCTTGCGATGCCTGCTTGACTCAGGGTCGCGCGCACCGGCCCGGGAACAGCCGTGGATGGAGTGCCAGGGTTCCCGGAATGTGGTGCGGGGAGCCGCCCTGGGTACAGCCCACTGGGAGGGTGGACGCGCTCTTGGAAACTGGCTTGGCGTGGGACGTGTTGTATGAGCAGGAGGGCCAGTTCATTAATTTGCAGGGAAGCCGGTTCTGCTCACCTAATCCTGCACTGGCGGCAATTTGCGCAAGGCC